TCGTAGATGGAGAAGAGGAGTATGAGGTCGAGAAAATCCTGGACTCTAAGTGGCTATGCCGAAAACTCCGATACCTGGTAAAGTATACAGGCTGGCCACACTCGGAGAACCAATGGCTCACACATGACCACCTGACCCACGCCTCCGACCTAGTTGAGGAGTTCCATCAAACGCACCCCCATGCCCTGGGGAGAGAGAAGGAGAACCGCCCAGCCGCTTCAAGGCGAAGCAGCTTAAGGGGGGGGTGATGTCAGGGCACACCCGCCTGACCCCACGCTGCGCCCCACACCGTACTGTTCTACTCCACGACCCCTGCTATCAGCCCTGTCCCCCTTCCTCACTTTCCCCTTTTCTCTCTATTTCTATTCTACAGTCGATTTCCCTTTTCTCCATGTACCACTACATACCTAACCCCATTTCCCTGATCGCTGCACATGCCACGCATACTCCTGCCTACTGAATGGCCGCCTCCGGGATCTCCCGCGGAGACACCCAGGGAGGTGCGGCTGTGCGTGGAGATGACATGGCCTCCTCCACGTGACCCTGACTGCATGTATATAATAGCGCCTGGGGTGGGAACAGAAGAAGCAGCCTTCTTCTCAACTTCCCACTTCAGGTAAGTACCATAGCTTTTCCCTTTTAATGATAACACAACTTCCCACTTCAGACTAAGTGGTCAGGGATGCTCACCCCGCAATGGGACCGTCGCTATGCATAGCCGACACCTGTCCCATCGAGTCCCTCGCGCTGGGACCTCGCCGCTTTCGGAGCTGTCCCTGACATGAGGTTATTCCTTGCTAAAGCTCGGTCGTGTGTAGGATGCCTGTATCACTAGTGGCCAATGTTTGGTCACCTACAGCTACCATCAGTGAAGCTTCGCACGGTTCTGACAAGTTTCCACAATTGACATCCTGTCAGGGACGGCTCCGAAAGCGGCAAGGTCCCGGTGTGCGGGACTCGGTGGGATGAATAGTGGCTGTGCGTAGCAGCGATCCCGTCGCAGGGTGAGCGTCCCTGACCACTTAGTCTGAAGTGGGAATATGAGAAGAAGGCTACTTCTTTGGTTCCCACTCCAGCTGTTATTATATACATGCAGGATCGGTCACGTGGGGTGCGCCACGTCACCCTCGCACACAGCCACGGCTCTCCAGGTGTCTCCATGGGAGATCCCGAGAGGGCCCGCTGTGGGTGCGGGGCGAGTGCAGCAGTGGTGGCGGCGATGTAGGGATGGTAAGATACAGGAGGGGGAATGGGCATGTGCACCGGTGATACATTGAGCAGCGGGAAAGGTGGTCCATGTGAGAGAGAGAGAAAGAAAGAAAGGAAGAAAGGAGGAAAGGAGAAAGGAAGAGGGAGAAGCGGTGCGGAGCAGGGGTCAGGCAGGGCATGCCCTGACACATCCCTCAGCTGGCATGTGGATGAATACCCAAGGGTTCACTGAATAATCATTACAATAATATGATTCATATTTCCTGACACAAAGTAATATTGATATTTCTTCCATTTCTTCTCAACAGCCAAATTACAATGTGATTTCCCTTCTCAAAATATTTGGTTCAAAATTCATGTTATCCTATATTATTATTTTGAATTCAAATCATGTCGTACAATGAAAAAAAAAACGGCAGAGGCGCCAGCAAAGGTGACAGGGCTGGGAGGTGTGATATGATGGGCAAAAAGAAGGCTGCCGTCATCAGACAGCAGTGCCAGAAAGTGGGAAAGGGAGGTGTGAAATGGAACGAGGGTGGTACGGTGTTCCAAATTCCTGAAGCACCCGTGTTGTTTGGGTACCAACTGTCTTTTTTCTCTCTCTCCTGGCGATCTTATTTTCCTGCCCCCCTGCCTTCCTTCTCTCCAAGTAGACTGAACGGACCTGTCATATCCCAGAATCCTGACCCCATGCTCTCCCACCTCATCACACCTTCCTAACAACTTCATCATCCCCTACACCATAACTCCCCACTCCCCAAGTCACCTTCCTTCCTAACTGTCTCAGCTCCGACCTGGTTGCGGCACACCTTACCTTGGCCACTCCCATCCTGGAAGCTCGGTCCCGAGTCAGAACATTTGGAGACTCTGGATTTGCTCTGACCTCCCGATGGATCTCTGACATCCTGTGACATACCTCTAAACCATTCCCCCTCCCATTTCATTTATTGGAGTCACCCAACATCCTTCGGATACATAACTACGCCTTCAGAGCTACCCACATCCTCCGGTGACCCCACTCACGTCATCACAAATTAGTCACCTTCCATTTAAGTATGACTGTCATCTTCTTTCCATTCAGTTGGTTAACTTCCTCTTACCCATTACTTGTTCCCATTCATCCTCCAGCCTTTTACTCCACCCTTCTCGGCCTGACACCTCGGTTCCCCATTAAGGATATTGTTTGGCACCTTTCGGTGTTCTCCATTATCACTCGGACTTTGACTAAAGTCCTTCCCATTCCTCCATATATAAATACTTGTAGATTAGAACCGGTAGTTCCCCAGTTCTAATCTCGACTAAATGTTACCCCAAGTCCCTCTATGAGTGAATCCCGACCCCTTCCTACAAGATACCTCAGACACATGAAATATAAGGACTAACTGAGATGTAATGGAGGCACAGCACTCCCTCTGAGTCGCTGAGGCCACATCCTTGTTAGAGCCACTTGTACCACCCAGCAGACCTGGGCTTCCTGGAGAAGCTTTGGTTCACTACCGGAGCTCTCGGATCCCCTCTAGTTGAGCCCCGCTGTCACGGCCATGCATTCCGGCCTGTTAGCTGCCTGTCCCGATGCCGCCCGAGCCTGTTACCGCTATGTGAGCATGAGCGCGAGCCCCGACCTCAGCCCTATCCTTCATGAGGACTCCCTGCTCACTCCCCCGCTTGCCCCTAGGCTCCCCTGCACCTGGCCGACTCCCCCACAGCCCCACCAACCTTCCCGCCCCGAGTCCGCCTCCGGCACCATGCCCAGCACGACTCCCCTACCCCGCCCACTTGGCCCCTACAGGGCCGCTATCATCCCTGCGCCCGACTCTGGCCCAACTCCGAGTCCAGCGCTGCTATGATACCATTGCCGCTATCGCGGCCCTACACTCTTTCCTTTATTTATCTGTTATTGTTTGTTTTGACCCTCGGTCATTGCCGGCCACTATGCGGCCAACCCCGCTCCTTATCCTTGTTTGCTTCCGGACCCGTCGGCCTTCGGCCGGGTCCGCTTCCATTCATTTCTTCCTCCTATATATATCCTGTATACTACATTATAGTACTTTAGCTCTAATATCGATGTGACCACGACCCCTAAGTCCTGACCCCAACAAGGCAACCCCAGTGAGTCTGAAATGAGGGCCAAGAGACAGCTAGGGGGCACAGCACTCCCATTAGAGTTGCTGAGGCCGAATGCCCTACCCCCGGGCCTTGTTCGCGGCATCACAGCCATTGTGGCCTATAGCGGCCCACCTCGGTGACCCTCGGTGCCGACCCTGGACCAGTGTCTAACACCCGCCTGCATTTGGACTCATGCACTTTCCCCTACATTCGGGGTTTTTGACAGGACCGAGCAGTGAGAGAGATTGGCCATGACGGTTCATGAGAACAACGCTCTCATGGTGCTTCCCAGCCCAGCCTAGCAGTCACAGCTGGCCCAGCCTGGCATGCATGTGGTTAAGTGCTGATTGCTGGTCAGTGTCCACCCATGAGACAATGCGCACTTACTGATGTGCTGCACAATGCATGCCTGGCCAGTGACATTGACAAACAGCGCATGCCACCTCCAGCTGCCAATGTCAATACTTTTTTTTCTCAACCGGACTGAATGGTGTGAATGGGAAAACCCGCTTGGAGCCGATGTTTGAGTTCCAGCTGGATGCTCGTGATTTAGGACAGTTTAACATTCAATGGATAAATCGGTCAAAACAACAGTACATATATCCCTGGCCAATTAATTCCATGCCGAACTTCATTTGACCACCTATTACTCATCATGGGATCAATATAATATGTACCTATAGGCACCCCTCCTAATGTATCTTCTTAGATATATAGATGCTCTTTCAGTGTGCACACCTGCACACTGGTGCAACTCTCAGTACTAATAGTACTAATATGACTATCAGGCCCGAAGGGCCTGAGAAGCTCTGGGGTACCATGACCTGAAATACCGGAAAACCCCTCTATGCTGCAACTCCTTCAGAGTTCACTGTCACACATCACTCTGGCAACTTGCCAACAACATCTCCGGATCTGTCGTCATCATCATTGTCATCGTCTACAACCTTGATGACCCTTCTTTTCCAAACTCAGTTTTACACTTAGCCCGCATTTCTTATTTGCTCTTCCACTGTCACTTGGTGCCCCAGTGTTGTTACCACAATCATCAATGTAGCTGTGAAATACATAGCACAATAAATTCTTTCAGAATGACTCTAAATCAAGGCTCTCTAAAGCACTGGCAATTCGACTAATGAGGTGATAAGATTCCTCAACCTCCTCATTCTCAGTTTCCAGGGCCCCATCTGCTGCCTCACTGTCAATATCCTTCACTACTTCAGACATACAGACCAGGTCATCTGTGCCCTCAGAGGGCATAACAGTAGTCATTGTGCTGGGCAGTGTGGTAGGGGGTTTCATCAGATGGCACTACTAGGGTAATCAGAACCGTAGCAAATGCACCAGTGAACACGCTTACTGTCTAGTATGTTCTCCGGGTCATCACAAGTGATAGGGCTCGCTGATGGTCTGCTCACTACAGAAGGGCATGACATCTCTTCCCTATGTAGAAAGCATGCAAGCTTGTCCAACTTGGCTAGTTTGGCATGTAGGTGTGTGTTGACATTGAGGCGGTATTGGGAAGTAGCAGAAATATACACTGCCAGAGTGGGGTTCGTCAACTGAGCATTCTCAATAGCATCTTGCAGACAAGCCTCTCCATTTTTGATTGAGGTCCATACCTGGCAAGCTTCAAGCTTGATGGTGTCAATCTCTTCATGGGCCTGTTGCAACTTATACCAAGCTCAGGCAGCCTTATGAAGGAGGGGTTTCACCACATCATCATGGCCCCGCAAAATCACAATATCAGACACGAATTCAAGACTGGTGACATCACCCCAACTGAGTGTTGGTTTTGGGGGATCTATGGTGGAAGCCAGTTTGTTATACTTCTCCAGTGTCAAGTTTAGTGTCTTCCCCCACTTCACCACCAAGGTCAGTATTTGCTGGCGAGCCTTGTAATCTGAAATAAAAGTTGTGCACTGAACAAAATAAGGAAAGCCAATCACTCACCTGTCCTTGGAAGTCCCATTTTCTCAACTTCAAACTGATGTGATATTGCACGATATTCGAGTTCATCAAGGAGGTGGTTGTAGTCCCTCTGCTGATGCAGAGCAATCGCTTCAAGCGGTTCAGGAGAACCGGGTATTCAAGGTTGGGTGTGAGGCACCAAGGGTGGTAGTTCTGCCTCTAACACTGCCAGAGCAGTGCATGCACTCTCAACAGCTTCATTTGCCTCTTGCAAATGCCGGTCAGCATGCTGAAGTGGTAGCCTCTGGGTGGCTATTTGTGCTATCCAGTAGCACACCGTTCCTCTGAACAAGGGGTGATTATTCATGAACATTTATAAATGAGGATTGCACTCACTCTGCACGTTCAAGGTGCTCTGTGGCTTCTAGATACACAACCTTCGCTTTTTCATCTTCAGGCTCAAACTGGAGTGAGGCTATGTACTTGCACTCTTCATTCAGCCATTGTGGGCATTGTACATCAGGTTCAAAGTTAGGATCCATCTGTTTGGTTGCCTCAAGTATTTCCAGATTCTCTTTTATCATTCTGCCAGTAACTTGCAAAAAGTGTAATGGTGGTTCATGAACCATCATGGAAGTCATGACATTTCATGAATGGTCACCAAACTTCATGAAGCAGCATGAAGTGTCATACACAGTCATGCTGGTTCATGACAAGCCATCATGGAATTTCATGAGATGTCATGAACCTGCATGGGGGGTCATGATTGCTCATGACTTAAGTGGTTCTTCCAGGCAGGTTTTGAGTGGTTACATGCCTGTCTATGAAGTGTCATGAAGTGTCATGAGCCTTCATGGGGCTTCATAAAGGATCATGGACCCTCATGGACCCTCATGAATCACTATGAGTCTTCCCAAGAATCATTGTGATTGATCATAAATTAGGATTCATGGTACAACAATGACAATTGGGGGCATAGTGGTTAATTACATGTGACCCTTAAGTTGAAAGTGATATGAAAGCATCACACAAGAAAGTCATCAATACCATCTGTCAGAGTGTGCATGTGCAGAGGTGCAGGTGGAAGCAAGTGGTGTGTCTGGAAGCGCTGTTCTGGCAGAATGGGATTGCAGCCTCAGCAACTCAAGGGGAGTGCTGTGCCCTGAGTTTGCCATCTGGGGGAGATCCCTTATTTGTGGAGCAGGGACTTGTGGTGGACTTCAAGCAAACTTGTGGATGGAGCAGGCCTGTTGGAGATAGGGCAAAACTCAGTGGGGACAGACTCAGAGGGGGGGAGCCCCCTTTTTGCAGAAGTTGAGACTCTGTCCAGACAGGGGGGGTTGCTCTAGTTGATTTGAGACTAAGGTCCCTGAAAGGTATAAATAAGGGAGAGAAATCATGGGAAGGGCCAGTCAGTTGAGTGCAGAAATGAGTGGGGATTGTTAAATTGAATCAAGGACAAGAAGCCAGGTAATGGGAAGTGAAGAATGAATAAGTAAACAAATGAGTGGTGAGGGTTATCAGTGTGGGAAGAACAACTGAATGGAACTGACAACCTAGGTGCCAAGATAAAGTGGATCAAGTGCCAGTTAAGTGAATGAATAGATAAATGTATTAGGTACTTAGCAAGAAATGCTGCCAAGTGTCATGGCCCTGCCAAAGGTGCTCACCTGTTACCACTCTCCCACTTCCCCACCACCTATCATGCCCTGTCAGTCCTCTCCATAATTTGTCACTCAGCAGTGCCAATAGTTGACCCCATCCATGATCCCACATCAGCACCTTCTCCCTTCCTGTCACCACTCTAACTTTCCTGATCACTTGGCTACATGCTATTCATTTATTGCTGAGCACCCACATGTTCTGTTCCTGCCCATTCACTTAACTTTAGTGGCCAATGTTGGCACCTTTGATCTGTCCCTATATTGCACTTGATCTGCTACTATATTGGCACCCAGGTTGTCAGTTCTCTCAGGTTGTCTCCCTAGTTTGCCTCTTTGTTTAATTGTTCATTCCACTCTGATTCATTCTCTCACTCTCTGTCTCCCTGGTTCTCATCCCTCATTTAGTTTGTTGCATTCACTGCTCTGCCTCCCATTCAGGTGCCAGACTGACCAGCCCCTCTTCTGTTCTTCCTTTTGTATTTATGCATTGTAGATTACCTTGAGCCTACATCACCACAACGTTCCCTCTGCTACACCTGGAATATAGGATAGCCTAGAGTGTGTGGCACAACGCTCCCACTGAGTTGTTGAAACCAACATCCCAACCCCCTGACACCTTGAAATGGAGTAACCTATCAGCTAAGTGATCACTCACACCACCATACTCTGCTCCACTTCCCATGAATACCCTCAAACACCATTTCTGACACCAAGCAGCAAAGGCAGCCAGAGGAAAAGTGGAGTTCAGTGCAGTGCCAACACAAGTCCATGAGTTGGAGGTTGATCAGTCAGTGCTGTCACAAATAAGGTCTGTCACATGACATGTTCATAAGTGCTTGTGACATCTCATGCATATTCATGCATGCTGATGACTCATCATACATGTTCATGGAGCATTATGAATGTCCATGATGCATCATGGGACATTATAGCATTTTACATGATGGGGAAAGGTCAAAATAAACATATGACACTCCATGACACTCCATGAACCTTCATGACAGGTCATGACAGGTTATGAAGGTTCATGAACATGCATGAATATCATGACCACTCATGAACCTCCATGAGGCATCATGTCATATTGTGTCACCAGCAGTCATGAACCTTGTCAGCACATGATGGTTCATGACAGTTCATGACAATTTGTCATGAACTGTCATGAAATCCAAAATTTTCCATGTAAAAAATGTCTGATTCAATTCAATTGTCATGACATGTCATGAGTGGTCATGAAATTTTGTGACATGTCATGACTCATGATTTCATGACACAGGATTACACTTTCAGAGAGTACCTCCATTCTGCATGCCGCTGTGTGATTATTCAATAAGAAGTCACCTAGACATGGGAAGGTCACTAGTAAGGAAGTATTTGGCTGACTGGATGACATGCTGGGTGACATACCTAGACACTCATACTTTATTTCATCCCGCTTCACAAAATGCATGTGAATTCGGAGGTGCCAATAGTATGGTGATGTGTGTCAGGTGACCAGTGTGAGGGAGCTGCTCTCAGAGTATTGTCAGGGCACACCCACCTGACCCGCCTCCACCCGGGCCCACCTCACCTGGTACCTCTTCTCTCATCCTGCACCCTTCTTTCCTGTTCTTTCTCCTCTCTATCTCTCTTCTACTTCTGTCCCTATTTCTATTTCTATTTCTATCTTACATGGACAACCTTTCCCTTATATCTATGTATTATCAACCTGCCCACGATGCACACATGACATGCCTAGCCCCGGACGCCCCAGACGGCTCTAGGGTGCAACCTAGTGCGCACACATGCAGCATATGCCCTTGGGATCCCCTGCAGGGACACCTGGGTGACTGCAGCTGTATGTGTGGTGACATGGCGGACCTCATGTGACCCAAGCCGCATGTATATAAACACACCTGGGGTGGGAACCGAAGAAGTAACCTTCTTCTCAACATTCCCACTTCAGTCTAAGTGGCCAGGGATCACTGTCCCACATCGGGCCTGCCAGTACACATGCCCGATCTACCCCCCATGAGGTCCTCAGCACCGGATGCTACGCCTGGACTGTGTCACGACCCGGCAATTCCCACGGTCAGGTGATCACTCCCCACACCTTCTCCCTCCCCCGCTTCGACCCCGTCAACCCCGCTACCCACCCGACGCCGCCTGAACAAGCCCGTCACCATTCCCCATCACCACTACCTGTTTCCACGGCCCATCACGGGCCCACAAGTCTTTCTTTATCACGCTTGTTTTTCTTGACAGCCGTACACGGCCGTCCTTCTCCCACACTCTTTGTTTGTTTTCGTTTCTTCTTAACCCCACCCCCAATCTCCGTGAGATCTGGCGACTTAATTCCATTCATTCCGTTATACTTAAATACCGGTTGTACACTACCTCGTACTGGAGTTCGAAAATCAACTAGGGTTACCCCCCCGCACTCTCTGTCTGACCCAGTCGCACCTCCTGCCTCCTGAAATATCGGGGCTGCATCAAGTACGAGGCGCAACGCTCCTGAACGAGTCGTTGAAGCCTTTCCGCCACGATTGCCATCCCCGCCCTTGATGGGCTGTTACGCCGAAGCAGCGGACCTTAACGGTCACCAACAGCAAGTCACGGTAACGTATTCCCATGCCCTGACAGTATTTTCGAACTCCCCTCGCTCTTGACGTTAAACGATGTCTCGCAAACCCAGAACCCGTTCTCAGACCCGCCAACCAGTGGCTGGTACTTCCGCATCACCATACACGCAGTACACCTCGTGCATATTATTTAATAGGGAAGAGTCAGACGAACCGATTTTCGAGAGCTTCATGGCAGACCGGGCAGGCTTACGGTCCTCAATGCCGGTGAAACACCGTTGATACCGCTGGCAACGAACGCCGAGCGAAGTTGACAGCGATTCACTTGTGGATGAGGCCGAGTCAACGGCCCAGATACCAATCGAGCCAGTGCCAGAACCCAAACCAGAGCCCGAGCCAGCGCCACAAGAGGAGCTACCCGCAGATCCGCGGTTACGGTCGATGAGATCGAAGAGATCGACATTGACCAAGCAGAGCAAGCCCTGCCGAAGGGACGTATGGCCTTCATACTCACCAAGGCAATCAGCGACCTTGCTCAAACCACTCGTGACATCCGCCAGATGATCCCACCGCCGGCACCACCCCCAGTGTCATATCCGTGCATACTCGACCCCGACCTGACTTCCGGACCTCCACCCTCTTCACCTCCGGAGTCATAACCTACCGCTGCCGTTCCGATACTCACCTTCGGTCTTGGCAACACACCCCTCCTCTTACCTCTCCGACCCTTTCTCTGTCCGCTCCGATACTCATCTCGGACCGAACATCGCCCCACTCGCCACCCTTCCTACAACTCCGCTCCTCCCTCACAACACCTCCACCCTCCCGTCATCCCCCTACGCTTCCCCCGTCCGTTCCGATACTCACCTTCGGACCTGACTGCTCTCCTTTCCGCCACTCCCTCTCCC